AAACGGACCAAACTTTGTATCATAAGTTGGAGCGATTCGCATTTAGACGTGCCATGAGGTCAGATGCTCTTTGTTTATGTGTAGAAACATTTTTGTCCTGGATGGGCTAAATATGGTTATGTAATGCTTTTCGTAAGTGATGAACTCACATGTCTTAAGCAATTAGACTGTCCGAAAATGACTTCAAATACATATCTGATCCCGCTTACAACTTGTGACTCCGCTTTTGTAACCTGCAAGAGAGGATCAGAGAATGCTGTGGAGAATGACTTCATACTCGTGGAGTCTGACCTTTACTGGAACTATCACATAAGGACCAGAATTGATTGTCAGATTGTCGTTGATATGTTTGGTGACCTTCCAAGCTTTGAACTAAAGTTAGGCAGTTCAGACTTGATACTGTTATTACATAGTGAAATCACCATAAACATAGGGTCTTCCGGATCTTGTGGTGTCAATCCTCCTAACAAAGGTTCTTCTTGTGCGTACCCGCAGAGAATCGAGGCAAGGAGCAAGATGATGGTAGAATACATACCTTTGTTCAGAAAAATAAAAGCCATAATTGAGCAATTGTTGATGGATTTGAGCAAGTCAAAATATGGGCGATAAACAGTGACTTTCTATGGATTTATACGGAAGGTAGAGAAGGTATGTAGAGAAAGGATCCGCCATCCACTTTCTCTTGAACGAACAAAGAGGTCTGAATCCACAAAAGGATTAGAAAAGAAGCCAAAATTTTTCCAAAATTGTTTACAATTTTTTTTCTTAAGACATGGTTCACCATTTACCATTCCTTGAAAGCAGTGGTTCAGCGAAATAGACCTCTGCTAGACTTTTATAGTAAGTAGTAGACCCCAAATACACCATAGCCCCAACCCTACCCTCCAATTCATGCGCAGCTGAAAAATGCGCTTTAAAATTGGACCAGACCGACTCAATCCATTGAGTGAGCGTTATTGGTACCCTACAGGCATTGCTTGTAGTGGATCCAGATGGTTAATCTTCAGAACAGAAGCTTCTGATACTATATAACAAACTCAATTCCTCTAAAGAAACACCAGTCGGGTACCATTTTCTTCCTCCTCCCGTTATCCTTACAAACGCATCTTTCACAGAAATAATTGTTATCAAATTTCGATTATAGGACAAGGAAGTGACTGCGATTTTTAAAATAGGATGATGAATACTATCGTGAAGAACTTCCACATCAACTCTTCTCTTCATCAAGGCAGGCAAAGTAACACCATGAATTGTACGTGCTGAACATTTACTCCAAGCACTGTCACGAGATTTGCACCCAACATCGTATCTTTGAAGGGGAAGGATTCTTGACCAGTGTAGAACTTCAAGAACGCTATTCTCTTGTTGAAATAAGGACCATTGAAACTACTGTCCTATATGAGTGCTGATTATGCTGTACAAGCTGCAAGGAGACTGTCATGGAATTTTAAGGATTTTGAAGCCCAGCCCAAAGAATAAGCTAATGTAGAGAATCCAGCTGCGTCGACTAAGTCCGGACGGTTTTAAGAATCCTAAAGCTTTGCGGGGATACGAACTCTTCCGGTCTTAGCTCCTGACGACTATCTTACGTTCAGAGCTTTGAAAAATTATACAAAAGTATCGTTCGCGGAGTGTAGGACCTCTTCTTACGAATCCGTATGTAAAGTCGTCCTCACCCCAGTAGTCTCCCTGTGCTTG